CAAAAAGAAGAAATAGACTTTTTCAAAGGAGAAATACATGTGGCAAGACCACAGGAAAAGCAAGTGATAAACTGATATTGGTTACCCCTGGACGGAAAAGGATGTGAGAATGTAATCATGAAGGGTCTTAAGGCTGTCAATAATGTTTGAATGATTGTGTGTGCACACACGTGTGTGTATGTGTGTGTGTGTGTGTATGTGTGGTGCTTGGGATGGAACCCAGGTCCCTTACACATTAGGGAAGCACTCAACCAACATGCTACATTCCCAGCCCCAATGTTCTATTTTTTAAAAGTGGTGGTGGGTAAATGGGTATTTATTATTATTCTCCAATCTTTACATATAATATATACTTATGTGTGTGTGTACACACTACATACATGCATACATATACACACACATACTACAAGCAGACATACATATGTAGGGAATGATATGTTTGTAAGTGAAAACAGATCTTCAGAGATCGGAGATCAGCATGAGAGTGGGGCAGGCAAAGAAACAGAGAGAGAAGAACCACCTGACTCAGAGAAGGAAGGCACCTTGCAGCCTTCCCTGTGAGGCAGGATACAAGAAATCAGGTAGAGGGTAGAGGGCTGGGCACAGTGGGTCACACCCGTAACCCTAGAAGCTCAGGAGGCTGAAGCAGGAGGATCTCAAGTTCAAAGGCAGCCTCAGAAACTTAGCAAGACCTGAGCAACCTAGGGAGACCCTGTTTCTTTTTTCATTCTTTTTTTTTTTTAAGAGAAAGAGAGAGAGAAATTTTTTTTAATATTTATTTTTTAGTTTTCAGCGGACACAAACTTCTTTGTTTGTATGTGGTGCTGAGGATCAAACCCGGGCCACACACATGTGAGGCGAGCGTGCTACCGCTTGAGCCACATCCTCAGCCCAAGACCCTGTTTCTAAATAAAACATAAAAAGGAGTCAAGGATGAGACTAGTGGTTAAGCACCCCTGAGTTCAATCCCTAGTATGAAACAAAGAAAAAACAAACAAAACAAACAGGTAGGAAGGAGACATAAAGGAGTTCAAATAGATAGAAAGGATGAGGAAATAATTTTAACTTGAGGTTCTGCATCCTGTCCCAGGTCTGTCACTCCCCCAAGCCAGTCCCTCTCCCGGGCCTGTCCACTCCCAAATTTCTGGGAAATCTGTAAATCTTAGAGTTACTGCAAACTCACCCTCTTGTAAAAACTACCTTGTGTGCTGTTAATTAGTCCATCAATAAATAGATTGTGCAAAGAGAGAGCGAGCATCGGAAGAAATGTATCATTTAGGGGATTTTCCGGCCT